GAATACCTAAATTAAGGTATGTCCATATCATGGGGTATCATACGACTATCAAAAATGATGGGCTGAGGCATACCAGGGATTGTGAGGCTGGCACAGGACTAGTCAGTCTGCAGGTTTGTGTGTTTGATTGTAGTTATGTAGCAGTGTGTTGTTCTGTTGTACATAAGGTTGTCATGAGTCAGAGCCGACTCAACGGCACCTAAAAACAAGACCAGAAGAGGAAGTACTTGGTTAAAAATTAAAGGTGTCAGACATCTCTAGCCTTTACTCTGTCAACCACTTGCTGTCAAGTCAATTCCTATTCATGGCAACTCTGATTCTGTGTCAGAGTATTTTCTCTTCAATTTATTTTCGTTGTTGTTGAGAATATATACAGCAAAACATACACCAATTCAATGGGTTCTTCTTGTACAATCCCGGACATTGGCTACACTCTTCAAGTTGTGTAATCATTCTCACCCTCCTCTTCTGAGTTGTTCCTCTACCATTAACATAAACTCACTTTCCACCAAGGTGCCTGTCTAATCTTTCAAGTTGCAGTTGTCACTTTGATACCATATAGATATTTCTTTCTTTTTTAAAAAATTTTTATTGTGATTTGGGTGAAAGTTTACAGAGCAAATTCATTTTCCATACAGCAGTTCATACCTATTTTGTTTCATGACATTGACTGCAATTCCCCACGATGTAACAGCTCTCTTCCCATTTCCTCCTTGTAGTTACCTCTTCCCTCTGTCCTTTTTTCCTATGCATTCTTGGCCCCTGAGCTATCTCCTTGTACAAATACTGCCATATAGATATTTCTTAAAACAGCATAATGCTCAAGGCAGACATTTTTTATTTAAGCTAAACTATTGTTTGATTTTAAGAAGACTTTAGGGGAAAGTTTTGGTCTAAGGTTTAAGATGATCTCAGGGTGATAGTTTCAGGGGTTCGTGCAGTACCCATGGCTCCAGAAAGACTAGAGTCAAGGAGAATTTGAAATTCTTTTCTGCATTTTCTTCCTTTTAATCAAGATTCTTCTATAGAATCTTTGACCAAAATGTTCAGTAATGGTAGGTGGGCACCATCCAGTTCTGGTCTCATGGCAAAGGAGGCAATTGTTCTGGAGGAAATTAGTCTCACACGTAGGGCTTTCAGTGAGTGATTTTTCAGAAGTTGATTGCCAGGCCTGTCTTTCCAGGCTTCTCTGGGTGGCCTCAAACTTCCAGTGTTTCTGTTTAGCAGTCGAGCTTTAACTGTTTGCACCACCCAGAGACTGCTGAATCCCTGACAAGCCAGTAGTTTTTCTTTTTATAAAAGGAGGATGAAAATAAGGACTTAAAGGTCCTTATGGTCAAATGCAGTTTAAGTCCTTCATACAGTGCCTAGCACACATTATGCAGTCAATTCAAAAAACCAAAACTACTGCCCTACAGTCAGTTCCTACTCCTAGCAACCCTTTAGGACAGAGTAAAACTACCCCATTAGGTTTTCAAGGCTATCAATCTTTATGGAAGCGGACTGTCTCATCTTTATCCAACGGAGCGGAATACTTCAACCAGCCTGCCACGAGAGCTCCTGTGCGGTGAATAGATATAGTTATTAGGAGCTCTGGTAGCATAGTGGCTAAGACACTTGCCTGCTAACCAGACGGCTGGCGGTTCAAACCCACCAGCCACTCCTCGGAAGGAAGGTTGGGCAATCCTACTTCTGTAGTGATACTGCCTCGGAAACCCAAGGAGGGGTCGCTATGAGTCAGGTATGACTCGACGGCACATAACAACAACAACAAAAATAGATATAGTTATTATATAGAATCGTTAGCCAGATGATCAGGCGTATACTATTTACAGGCATGTATAACCTTTGTAGCTAACCAAGTTAGCATTTAGTCTGCATTTTTGAGAGCATTTCCCAGAAAGTGGTGACTGTGCTTTTTGTATGTCTTAAGGAAGGTGCAGGTGGTTAGTATATTCCCCAACTGTTCAAAGTCTGCTCACAGGCAGAGCAGGAATCTGTCTTCAGACTAACTAGGAAACATTCCTTATGCCTAATTTCGGTGTCGGTGTCTACACGTTTCCTACTTAGAACACTGCTCAAACCTAGTTTCTACTTTTAGATCAACTGCGGCAAATTTCCTTAAATATCATTATAAATTTGGCCCCGCCCACGTGCCTCAGCCGATTGGTCCAAATGCTCCCGGGTTTCGTTCAATCCTTGGGATTTATTAAAGTTGATTGGCGGAGGAAATCGGAAATCCTTTACTTTTCTGATTGGTTGCGCTCGTTCTTAGCACGTAGACGTAGGCGTGGCTCGCCAAGACGCGGTCAGCTGTCATTGGAAGATGGACCCGGCATTTCCAGAGCTTCGTGCCGTCGCCTAGGTCGCGGGGGCGGGCCTGTTTTCTTCCATGCCCCTATTTTCCTTACTATTGGTCAAAAAGTGTCGCCACTCACGCAACTTTGAGCTTATTGGCACAAAAGCTCTAGAGGGCGGTGGGTGATTGGTTGGTTGCTGTCCCCACCTCCATACTCGTCGCCATTTTGCTGAGAAGAGCCGAAATCCTAAAGGCAGCGGTGTAGGTATCTGCTCTGAGCAGGGTCAGGTGAGTCTTAGGTTGGAGGGAAGGGGCGGTAGTACCTAGGACCTGGCTCGATTTTCGCTCCATCAGCGAGTGCCTGCGGAAGGGGCTAGGATTCCGCTGCCCTTTTTTTTCCCTCTATAGGGCTAGGGCTGCGGGGAACCGAAAGAGGCTTGGCGGGTTTCGCGGGAGCCCTCGCCGCTCTCCCAAGGTCCCGGCATCCGGGGACACCGACGCGCATATCCGCGGTGTACACTCACCTTGGCCACCCTCTCTCATTCGTGCCCTTGTGGTCTAGCCGTTGTTTCTCCCTGATGGACATTTGGTGCTTGATTGCGGGGAGGCTGCGCGTGCCGTGGAGGTCCCATGGTCCGCAGCGTCTTCCTCCAGAAGGTCTCCAGCGGCGCAGACGGGTCTGAGACCGCGGCGCCCCTGGTAGATGAGTAGGAAGAAGAGGGAAAGAGAAGGGAGAAGAACAGAGGAGATGTAATGTGTGTGGTTGGCGGAGGTGTGTAATCGGACGCAAGCATTTGCCTCTAGTGACATCTAAGTGGGAAGTACCTTCCCTCGCCCAGCATATTCCTTACGATTTTCCTCGTTTATTTCTGGGATCTGTCTTCTCAGAAACAAAGATAAGAACCTCTAGTTGTGTCATTCAACAAAGATATTGAGTGCTGCCATACATAGCTTTTACATAGCTTCCATATGGACCCTCTATGAATGATTATCAATCCCTCACTTACGTACAGGATAGATGCTGTGCTTAGGTAGGATGGAACGATGTGTACATGGATGTAATCCATGATGTTACGCTGCTGCGGGAAACGATTTCAGAAGTGGGGCCTCTGGAATTTGGTGACTTCCCTTCTGCAGTCAGCGAGGATCAGGGTGAATGAGAGATTGGCTGTTCTTGCTGCATCTTCCCCTTGCCCTGCTCACAAGTAAAGTTTTCCTTGGTCTGCAATTTAGGAAGCAAACCGTGGTCTTCAGAACAAGAATGTATGTCTTTTTCTTTGGGGCAATCTGTGTCTTAGTTTTCCAAGAGCCTGGTTAGAGGTGTAGGCACAGTACTGCTTTTAATTAGCACTTCAAGCTCACACTTCAAATATTGTAATCTGTTAGGAGGGAAAAAAACAAAGACTAAATTTCTGCAAAGCTATTGCCTTCCTGTACATAGTCCACCATACATTCTACTGAAGAATAAAATACTGAACATTTATACTGTTAAAAGTCAATACAGAGTTTACCCTGTGGGAGGCATAGTGATTGGGTGGGGGGCCCAAGGAGATCTTTGGGGCAGTCATCTGCTTTGTAATCTGATTACACAAGTGTGTTTGCTTCATGAAAATTAATCAAACTTTACAGTTACCAAGTATACTTTTATATGTAAAATGTACTTGAATAAAAAGTTGGAAAAGCTGGTTACAAATAAGGTGATGGTAAATCCAATGGACTACCCAATGCTATGGTATCTTCCCAGTTCTTTGCGTAGTTAGTTTTTTATTTTCCTCTTAGCACTACAGTTTCCTGGTGTGTATTTCCTCACCTCTGAAACCTTACAGGTTTTTTTTTGTGGATAAAGGTATTGTTTGCTAGCCAAACTAAATAAAAAAACCAAACCCAGTGCCGTCGAGTTGCTTCTGACTCATAGTGACCCCCATTGGGTTTCCAAGGCTGTAAATCTTTACAGAAGTAGATTGCCTCATCTTCCTTCTACTGTGTGGCTGGTGGGTTTGGACCACTGACCTTCTGGTTAGCAGCCAAATGCTTTATTCACTATGCCACCAGAACTCCTTGCTTGTTGTTGTTATGTGCCGTTGAGTCGGACCCCGACTCATCATGACTCCTCCTTGGGTTTCCGAGGCGGTATCACTACAGAAGTAGATTGCCCAACCTTCCTTCCAGGGAGTGGCTGGTGGGTTTGAACTGCCAGCCTTCTGGTTAGCAGTCAAGTGCCTTAGACACTAGGCTACCACAGCTCCTAGAAGTCCTTGCTAGCCAAAGGCAACTTGTAAATTTCTAAGTGATGTTCTTTAACCTGCCTTAAGGACTTTGCTTCATATGGTGTAAAATAAACTGGTTCTCTGCTTCCTAAATTCTCACTTCAAGAGAGTTTAGAAGGAGGTGTGGGCATAGTCATTGTAGCATAGCTTCTACACTTAAGATGACTAAAGCCTGCCGCCATCGTGGTAGGACACTGAGCATGGAGGTATGCTTCCACACGTCCCATTTGGATGCACAGTGGAAGAGAGAATTCTCTGGAAAGCATCGAAAAACTTAGTTGAGTTTGCCTTTGAAAGCAAGACTCAGTATCCTTTGTTGGCCAAACTGTACTTAAACTTTTACTGTACTTAAACAACCTCTCATGGAGACTTGTGTTTTATGTATGTATTACTCGATTTACCTTGCTTTTCATTTAGGTAACAGTCCAGTTACAATGGGGAACGTTTTTGAAAAGCTGTTTAAAAGTCTGTTTGGGAAAAAAGAGATGCGGATTCTTATGGTGGGTTTGGATGCAGCTGGAAAAACCACCATCCTGTATAAACTGAAGCTGGGAGAGATTGTGACTACCATCCCGACAATAGGTACGTTAATGACCTGGGGCAGGACCAGTTTACAACTGAACTTAGTGTGTTAGACTGTGACGTGCTTCTTAGCCTGTTGAATATTCCCTTTTGAAAATCTTGTCCTCCCCCAGAACGTAAGTTTTTGAGGACAGAAACCAGGTTATATAGACTTTCTTAACTGCCCCCAGCATCTCTAGCACATCGGTAGGTGTACAGGGGAGTCCTGTGAACACATTCAGGGTAAGCAGATTTCACCATACCTGCTTAACAAAAAAGAGAGTATAATGATTCCAACATGGA